AAACATCAAGCACGTACAGATAAAACATCAAGCACGTACAGATAAACATCAAGCATGAACAGATAAAAATATCAAGCACGTGATAGATAAACATCAAGCATGAACAGATAAAAATATCAAGCACATACAGATAAATATCAAGCACGGGACAGATGAAAATCAAGCATAAACAGGTAAAATGTCAGACACGGAGTGACATTTTGTCTAGCCATGCTTGATATTTTATCACGCAATGTCTGATAATTTTGTCCAACTCGGCTTGCCATAATCATTACTAATATTGCGGTAGTATCAAAGTGTGATGGAATAAAATTTGTAAGTCCAACATTATATTTAAAAATTATTCCTTCTAAATTTCAGTATAGAAAAAATTGAAATTGCGTACTATTTTTATTAATTAATGTAATTGATGTGAAACATTATTAATAAAACCTCGCCGATCTACAGGATCGTCCAACTTACCTAGCGTCACCTAGAAAAAATGGTAGCCGGATAGGTTTGCTGGTTACACGTGATTCGGAAACTGATTTCCGGTTACATTAATTACAAATTGATTATAAATCAATTTTTTACCTTTTTACTTTTTCATCAATATCTCGTCAGACACGTCACTATAAACCCTTTTCTTATTTTTCTAATTTCACTAATGTCAAACCAAGAAAATAGAACTTGTAAAGGATGTCATGTTCGTCAAAGCAATGAAAATTTTCTAAATGATAAAGGTGTTGCTTTAAAAAAATGTTTGCACTGCCGAGATAAACTTAAAATTGCTCGTTTAAAAAAAAGTGCTGAACAATCTGACGCAATAATTAATTATTCAGATATTACTGAAACTATATACAACCATTTAATTTCTCTAAATGATACTAATGAACTTTATGAAGGTGAAAATGTGGAGTTAAACCTTGATCTTGATATTGAATTATCATCTTTTCTTGACTTTATTTCAGAAAAAGATGAGTCAAATAAAGAAAACCTTGAAATTGAAGTTAGCAATCATGTAATAACACTTATTTCGGAAGGTGATGGCTATTCATGGGTTTATCGGAATAAAAATCAAAAAAAAGACTCTCTTCATATATTATATTATTGCAATTGTCGAATTGAGCTTGGAAAATGGCAAGTAAAGCATCCTATATTAGATAAACAAAGAGACACATCTACCTATTTAGAACTGTACCATTGTGAGGGAACAATAAATATAGAGATCTTATCAAAACTGGACTTAATCAAAGTTAAATATTCTCATAAAATGTTACATCCATGACCAAGGCATGTTAATACTACGTATGAAATTAAAAGATTTATCCAGGATAATCTTAATTGTCCTGTTTCAGAAATTTGGCGCCAAATTCGAGAAAATCAAATTATTGGACATGAAAACATAACAGTTCAACAGACCTATTATTGGTGGTCTATTCAATCTCGTAAGGCATACTGCCGTGACACCAATTCTTTATTATCAGCAAAATGTTTGCTAGAAGAGTTTAACCAAGAAATTATAGTAAATAATCTTAATACTTCTGCGCCCGCTCTTGGATTTTTAACAGAATTGTTTTACAAATTGATTTACTATAATTTTGAAGCAATTGAAATCGATGCAACTTATGGTACCAATAATTTGGCATGGGAATTATATGCTATTATGGGTGTTATAGATGGTACTGGATTTCCTCTTAGCTATCTTATAATTTCAGTTGGAAAAATTCGAAATATAACAGGGATTCTTACTCAGTGGATGCAAGCTTTAAAAGAACTAAACCTGAGAAACTTTCCTTTTATTTTAACTGATAAAGATTTCTCAGAAATCAATGCAGCACAAACTGTATGGCCTTAAGCACGTTTACAATTATGTGTTTGGCATTTAAGACGGGCTATTAAGCAACGTTTATCATCTAATAAAATTGGTACATATTATTCTTATAATCCAAAAGTTGCACATGAAGAATGTTCATCAATTGATCCTAGTTGGGGAATTTTTAATAATTCAAATTTGGTATTTTGCCCTTTAAAGTTACGAAAAACTGTAATTAGCATTGTTGAAAATCATTCAAATCGTCATATGTTGTTACTGAAACATGATGGTACCTTTATTACAAATGCAGACGAAATTTGGAAAGAGTGTGTTAAAGAAATGATAGAATTTTGTAAAGAAAATGAATTACTTCAATTATGGGTTTACTTGTGGAGAGAATGGTATTCAAAAGAAAAGTGGAATTTATGGGCAAGAGCGGCTAATAAAATATTAGCCATATTAAAACTACAATGATTGTTGAGTCACATTGGCGACATATTAAACATGATCACTTATACAAATTTCTCAAGCCCAGAGTTGATCATTTATGTTTTATTCTTGTTAAAAAAGTAATCAGCCAACAATTATATCGAATTCAATTACTTCAACAAGGTCGCTATTCAGTACCATGGCGGAAAGAGTTTAAAAAAGAATGGAAGCAACATGAAAAAAAAACCACACAATTAAATGGCAAATATTTTACAGATTCAACAAAATGGATATGTGCATGTCCTGCATATATTCAAAGCCGTTTTTTTTTGTGTAAACATCTAGTTAATTCTGTTCAAAAAGTTGATGCAATATTCTTTAAAAAAGTAAGTGACAATTTGTTTTTGATATTTGTATTTATTATTTTATTTAATAGTGTCTCTAATTAAAGGTGCAAAGAAATGGAAATTATCCATTAATTTCATCCTATGAAGGTGAACTGGTAAATGTATTTGGTATGGAAGCTCCTCAAAATTATAAAGTTTCAAATATTTTATTGATCCAAAATTCGATTACTGAGAATGAAGATGATTATATTATCGAAAGTGATAATGAAGAACAACAAACATATGAAACTGATTTTGCTTATTTATGCGAAGTATTAGATAAGGTAAATATAAATTTCATATACAGATGCATTTTTAACCTTTACTAACGTCAAAATAAATTTTTTAGGCTAAAGAATTGTTAAAAGAATCATATAACAAACCAAAACGGCATCTATGGTTAAAAAATGTTCGCAAGAATTTCAGATTGTTGGAAAAGATGAATAATGATATTAAAGCACTAGAAAACCGTCGAACAATGCCAAAAACATGGAAAAACTTTAACAAAAATACAATGTATTGGGAATAAATAAAATAAATAATAGCAATAAACAAAATTTCAGCAATTTTCTTAATAAACTCTAAATATTTACTATATTTATTTATTCAGTTATTTATCAAAGTTTTTTTGCTACTACGTTATTATAAAAATTAACAAGCTAACCGGAAATCATTTTCCGAATCATGTGTAACCCGGAAAACCTATCCGGCTACCATTTTTTCTAGGCGACGCTAGGGTGGTTATGTTACGTGATCAACTTTATTTTTTTCAGGATCAACCAGCTGACCAGCTGATTGTTATAACCGTGTAACGTCATTAATGTATGCATGTGGCGTAATGCACTGTATAAATTTGGACACATCCGAAACAATTACCATAAACCTTATTTTTCATTTTTTTTTTAAGAATAAAATGTCTACCCAATTTTTTTCAAAATTAAGTCAAAATTATATTGAATTATTAAAGGATAGTGAATATTATGATGTTACAATTGAAGTTGGTGAAGATCCAGACGTAAAAATATTTCGTGCTCACATGAACATTTTGTGTTACCGTTCTCCATACTTTCGACGAAATTTGAATAAAAAGAATAATGACAACTTTTTATTTCATATTAAATTACCAAATATATCACCAGAAATATTTCAGTTTGTTTTAGAGTAAGTTATAAATTCAATATATTCTTTAATTTAATTTCCAATATTTATTAATTATTTGTTTTATTTTAGATATATTTATGGTGGTATTCTTTCGTTAAACGGTCAAGATACTTTAGACTTCCTTAAGATTTTGGCAGCTGCAGATATACTTTGTCTTCAAGAACTAATTAATTATTTACAAAAATATTTGATCGAAAGTAAATCAGAGTGGATGGAACAACATTTTGAATTTACTCAACAAATAAGTTCACAATCTAATAATTTATTAGAACTTCAAGAATTTTGTACAAATTTAATGGTTCAATCGCCTGAAAAAATATTCAAATCATTTGATTTTACTTCACTTTCTGAAAGCTCTTTAATTTCACTTATTAAGAGTGATGATTTACAAATGAATGAGGTTGAAGTATGGGAACATGTTTTAAAATGGGGTCTTGCACAAAATCCAACTCTAATTCCAGATCCTAGTACTTGGACGGATGATGATTTCAATAAAATGAAAATTACTTTACAAAATTGTATACCTTTAGTTAGATTTTTTTGTTTATCATCTAAAGAATTTTTATATAAAGTACGACCGTATCAAAAACTCTTAAATAATCAATTCTATGAAGAATTATTGAATTCTTATTTAGATCCTAATAGTGTATCAATTCATAACATTTTCCGTCCTAGAAAAATAGTTTCGCTTGAAAGTACCGCTCAAATTATCGATTCACAGATCGTTAATTCTAGTATTGTTTCAACCATTTTAAATCGGATTAACAAAACAGTTAACAAAAAATTTGAATATAAATTTGAATTATTATTAAGAGGAAGTCGAGATGGATTTACTCCTAAAAAGTTTCATGAATTATGTGATGGCAAACATAATACTGTTACTTTTATTAAAATAAAAGGAACAGAAGAAATTGTTGGTGGATATAATCCTTTAACATGGGAATCTCATACTTTCATGGCTGGAACTAAAAAAAGTTTTATTTTTTCTTTTAAAAATAAGAATATTAAAGATGCTATTATTAGTAACGTAAAAAATTCAGAATGTGCAATATTGTGTAGTAATATAAGTGGTCCATATTTTGGCAGTGACATTATTATATGTGCTTCTAGTGAATCTGTGAACTACAATAAGAATTGGTGTAAAAAGAAATATTATGAAAAAAGTATAAGAGAAACCACGGATCCATTTTCTATAGAAGATTATGAAGTATTCCAAATTATTCAAATTAAAAAAAGATAATTAGTAGCTTTATATTAGATTATCATGTTATTGTTCATTAATTTTTTCATTCTTTTTTCGTAAATTAGTGACGTATTCTTTAAACAAAAGCGAAATATTGGAATTTATCATTATTGATTATCCTTAACAAATTTTCCTATGCTTTTTTTTTATCTTTTTTTATCATTTAAATTTTTTCTTTACCATTTTACTGTTTTCTTTAACTATCAAACTTACTTTCATTTGTTTCTACCCCTTTATCCTTAAGTGACAATATTTATTATGAACGAAGGTAATCCTAAAGTCTCTTCAGAATTGGTGGCTGACATCGTGGTTTTATTTTGTTCCAACATTAATTATTAACTTTAGAAGTATTACTGTTAGTTTGTTAGAGTTAGTTGGGTTAGATTTAGAGATAATTTTTTTAGGTACTATAATAAATTTATTAATCAAATAATTTAACGTAGTATTAGGATTGGTTTAGAGTTATGGGTTAGAGTTAGAGTTAGGGTTAGGTATTATTATTATTTTAATCATTCTATTTGCCAATATCACAAACTGATGGACGTAAATTTTATATAAAAAATAAAAAGCAAGTATTATTGATAATGTTTCAAGAATGTAAATATCACCTTTAGGAAAGTAACGTTCGCTAGAATCTAAAAAACAAAATGAAAAAAAGTTACTAATTTCAAATTTCAATAAATCAAAATTTTACCTATTAATATTGTTTCAAATACTCCCATAAAATACACTCTAGGAAAGTACTGCTTGCTAGATCTAAAAAAAAGCAAAAAAAGAAATTTTCATATCGTTCTACCAGTCAATATTCCAAAGAATTAAAATTTTGCCTAAAAAGATAAAAGGAGAGTCCTATAAATGAAAAGTACCATTCGCTAGGATGTAAAAAATTCCATACCATCATATTCCAAAGCATTATAGAAAGAAGATCAATATATTGGTCACAAAGATTAGAATATAGCAACTTGAAATAGATGTAATAATATTACCACCATTTTTTTAATATCTTTAAAGAATCAAAGCTGTATACAAAAAGGGTGAAGCCCTACAAAAAAATAATAATAATGAAAAGAAATGTTAGTTAATTTCTTAAATTAAAAATAAAAAAAATAGATTCCCTTTCCTTAACTACTAGCTGGAAATTCCTACAAAATTAAGAAACAACAATTTTGTTCAGTTATATTGTACTTTTATTATATTTTTAATTAATATACAATACCATGTTAAAAATTAATATTTTGGTTTTTTTTTTACTTTTTTTCAAAAATGAAAAAATTTAAATTTTAATATAATTGTCCGGAGCGTCTAAAAAAAAATCGATCATGTGAATTTCTCTGCCCGCCATGTGATCGTCACCCAATGAAATCGCAAATTTTAAGTTTTTCGCTCCGGACTTACAACGGTTCCCGTTTCCTAGTAATTATTTATAAATTATATGATACAGTAAAAATCACCCCAGGTGGATTCACCTCTTTGAACATTAAAATAATCCTATAAAAGTCAACAATATAAATTAAATTCAATTAGCCATTGAAATGAGTATAGAAAAATTTTGTATTATTTATTTTTAATTTTATGCATTGGAAATGGTTTATACTATGTTTATATTATTATTTTGATAATTTATATTTAATAACTGAAATTTATTTAAATTACAAACTAAGAAACTTGCTGGTTGCTACCCTAGTCTTAGTGTTTAAATAATTCTAAGTAAAATAAAAGAGAATATAAATATTTAATATTTGGATATGCTATAAAAAAAAGGAATTGTTTAAATTAATCTTATAAACTATTTTACTTAATGTTTAAATAAATTCTGTTATCTGCATAACATAAAATATCACTTAAAAAAACCAAATTCTTATAAAAACACAAATAATTAGTTATTTTTCATCTGTTTCAATATCTAAATAATTAAATAAATAAAATTAATTTCACATAAATAATTTGAAAAATTAATTCTTTTTATATACTATAACATACCTAATGACTTTATATCTTCAATTATGCAATCATTCAAATCTTCACTTACTAGCATTTCATTTACTTTTACACTAGCTTGTAAATCTTCACTTTCAAGAGTTTTATTCAATTGTTTACTAGTAAAATCAAGTAAGCGACTTGTATAATATGCCTGCGAATGAGATTTAGTAGCAAGATTATTGTTATGCTCAATTGGTGCATTTATAAATTCCATAACATTGCATTTTAATTCTTCATTAATATCTTCAAGTTTAGCTTTATACGGACGAAAAATCCATTTATAAATAATATCCAACACTTCTTTAGATGATGGTCTTTTTGATGAATCATCATTCCAACATTTTTTCATCAAATCTACATAACATTGTGGGGTATTTTCAATAATTTCAGGACGTTCACCTTTACAAATACTTAAACTAAGTTGAAAATCATGTGCTCTATTATTAAATGGTGGTACTCCAGATGTAAATTCCCACATAATCATAGAATAACTATATATATCACTAGCTGGAGTATAAGATTTGCCTCTTAAAACTTCAGGTGCCATAAATGGCACAACACCACAAATATCATATTTTTTCAAAAATGATTCTACAGGTTTACACAATCCTAAATCACTAATATAAATTTTACTCTCATTATGATTTAAAATATTACCATCATGAAAATCACAATGAATAAGATTTTGATTATGTATGTCATTAAGCCCAGAAATAATTTCATATAACATATATAATTTTTGATTCCAACCACTTTTGATTATTCTTGTTAAGTTTCCTCTTAAATTACCTTTGTTTGCATAATCCATTACCGCCATATATTTCAAAGTATCTGGATCTTTTGTGAACCCATAAAAATAAATAATATCATATGAACTTAAAAAACTTTCATGATATTTCCACTATAAATAATAATAATATTATATTAATGGAAATAAATTATTATTTAAATTAAAAAAAAAATAGATAATATATCATCATACTTCATTTAAAAATTCATTTAAATTTTCACTTAAATTATTATAACATTTAAGAATTACTTCATTATCTTCATCATCATAAAACCAAATAGCTTTGTATATAGTACCAAATCCTCCTTTATCAAGAAACTCAACATTTCTAAATTTATCATAAGGAATCCATTTT